CAGTTTCGTTATTTATTATTCATTATTATTATTCGTTTGCAGTCTGAAAAGCCGAATTTTTTACATAATTTCGAATTTGAGGGGGATCGGGAGACCTACTGAACTTGCATGTCGAGTTTGTTCTTTAACTATTAATTTCTTGAATTTTTTTGCAAAGTTCAAAGGGAAGGACTGATTGGTTAAAAGGACTTAAAGAAAATGTCATTTTAGGAAGATTGATTCCAGCAGGAACTGGATCTGAAGAAACAATATTACAACAATTGATTAATTTACAAAAAATAGAGAAATTAAAAAAAGGGAAAAGCAAAAAATATACAACTTGGAAATTAGATTTTTTACCAAACTTTTAGTGTTTGATTAGCGACTCCTTATCTGGGCGATCAATCCCACCCACCCCCACCTATGCTGTTGCACCCTCCTCCTTTCCTTCTCCATCTGTCTCCTGGTAACCCTTACTGCGGCATTGGTGAGTTGCCACGTTAGCAGACCACCTCAGCAGACCACATAAGCAGGCCACATCAGCAGGTCACAACAGCAGACCACATCAGCAGACCACATCAGCAGACCACATCAGCAGGCCATGTCAGCAATGACACATCAGCAACATGTCAGCCGACAACCGTGCCACATCAGCAACCGGGCAGTGCCACATCAGCAGCTGGAAGTGCCACGCCAGCATTCCTCCAACCTGGTCTCAAACAGCCATCATGGACCAGAAGCAAGGGGAAACGGGCGAGGCCTATCAGGCCCGAATGCAGACCTTGATCAACGAGGCCAAGCAACGGTCAGATAGGGTAGCAGCCGAAGAGAAGAAGAAGGCCGAGGATATAGAGAAAGCACGTCTGCTGGCGTTCGAACAGAAGCGCCCGCATGACGAGGCGGCAACAAAGGCTGCCGATGAGGAATGCAACATGCGATGTGATAACATATTTGGAGGAGAGCGGGCCTTACTCAACATGGCAGCGGAATGGCGGTCCGAGGCCGAGGGTGTTAAGATGAGCGACAGCGAACTCAAGATCGCGTTGTTACTCTCCTCGTCACGGACCTCCTGGCCACGTGCATTGCACAACAAGAGGACATCCATTCCCTCGACTACAAGGTCAAGCGAGTCAGCAGCCGCTTACAGCAGCTGGAGCAACGACCCGTCGCCAGCTCCTCCAACACTTTTGATCGCCTCAACGCATTGGAAGTCGACGTCGGAGTACTCAAGAACGGCACGCAGCTACAGCAAACCGCGACTCGACAACTTCAGCAGCGGATCTGCGCTGCCGCTGCTAACTCGAGAATGTCACCACGCAAAACGACTCCGAAGTTGGATGGTCAAGAGATTTTCTGCGACTCTATGAAGACGGACCAAATTTTGTGGTTCCGCATGTTCGAACTAAAGTTTCAGCTCCACCACACCAGTGAGGAGATGAAACACGCGTATTTGTACTCCCGATCGAGGGGCGCGTGCCAAGCGAGATTGGACAATCTCTTGTCCAAGTACGGGGTGGTGGCTGCCGACTTGTATACCAAGATCAGTCGGGATGATCTGAAGGCGGCGTGGCATAAACGTTTACAAATAGAGCGACCGGAAATCAAGGTAATGGACAAGTTGCTGACTTTCCAACAAGGCACGCTGCCGAGCGGCGATTGGATTGCCCAGTTCCAACGCTTGGCATCAAAGTCGGGCGTACCGATGGGCTTTATGGCCATCAAACACTAGTTCATTACGAGGTTGTGTCCGACACTATCCAATGCATTGACTCATGTTGCGAAGACTCTCACGACAACAGCGGAGCACTTCGACAAGGCCGCGCAGATTACTGTCACGAACATGGAGGCCAAGAACCTTCCCCATTCGTCTGCAGCAGGCCCAACCAGAGAACAGCATCGGCCGAAGGTGGCCGTGGTCGCTGCGGCAATGCCGACCGACCCTTCAAGCGAGGCAGTGTCCACCAATGAAGGGGACAGACTCGCAACCGCCCGGGATGGTGGCCGCCCCGGCAAAGGCCGAGGACGCGGCAAATCGAAAACAAACACGACGTCAAACCCCGGGCCTGGCGCACCAGCGCATGATGCATGGACCCACTATGGTCTCTCGGAGCACGTATACAAGCTACGCACGAGATTCCCCTATTGTTTATGGTGTAACGGTGATCTCCACGAAGCAGTGGGCTGTCCTTTGAAGCCAAAGGGCAAACAGTCGAGAAAGGGAGCACCGCCGAGAGTGAGTCAACGACACTCTCGACGCCTTCGAAACTTGTTGCTACGCATGCGACCGCCCTTCGTTCCAAGGCACACGCAAAAGTCAATACCTCCCATATTATCTTATTTTGAGGACTATGCTGCCCGGCTCGTTCCTACGCTGGGTACTCATGCTCAAGGACAAGACGTGTGTGCGGTATCTTCTCCATCCAACAACGGCGACTTATCGTCTTCCAGCAGTTCTTCACGGGATTCGCCTCGTGAGTTCAACATAGAGGTATTGGACCCGCTCACATCCAAGGATTTCGCATGGCTTCCTCTCCCGCCCACGGGCAGCTTGTTGGGACCGCAATGCACAACACTATGCGCTCATCTTCACACATAGTTATCCTTCTATGCACCACCAACTTCGCCAACGGATGACAAAACTGCGGTGGGGGACATCCTTGCATATGTTACCAAGGTGGCCCATGAGTTTCGCACGCTGCGGTACGATGACAACAACGCACCGCTCCTCTATGTCTGCATCCAAGTTGGGCAAGCATCCTGCAGCGCTTCGTTGGATAGCGGCTCGACTCGCAATTTCATGAGCCAAGCCTTTATGCAAAGGGCTCGCCTTGGCGCACAAGTTCGGAGGAAAGCAAACCCAACAACGATCAAGTTGGCGAACGGAAAGACCCAGCAAATTCCGACCGCTTCATCGAGGCTGCCCGATGTACTTCGCACCTCATGCATGTGAATAGGTGACGTTCGACATTTTGGACATAAACTTCGATATCATTTTGGGAATCACTTGGCTTGCAAGTGCGGATCGCACGGTCAACTTCCATGGACAGACTTTTACCGTCCACAATGCCTTTGATGCCAAAATGTTGTGTACTATTCCTCTTCCGCACCCTTCGATCCAGTGCCAAGTGGTGACGGCCAAGTCGTTTCGAACTACTTGTGCTTACTAGCAGCCCAACAAGATAGACCTATGTTTCCTGCGAACAGTCGCGGTAGCCGACTCTTCACCCACGGACTTGTCTTCAGACCCCCATGTGGTGCGGTTGCTTGACAAGTTCGCCGACATCTTCGAGTCACCTACAGGTGTCGTGTCGGATCGACCGATCTCTCACGAGATTATTCTCGAGGCCGGTACCGTGCCACCTAAAGGTTGCATTTATCGGATGAGCGACGAGGAGCTTACGATCATCCACGCACAACTCGATGACTTGTTGGACAAGGGTTAGATCCACCTTAGTAGCTCATCATATGGCACGCCAGTTCTCTTTGTACGAAAGAAGAACCAAGGATCTACGATTGTGCATCGATTACCGCAAGCTCAACGAGCAAACCGTCAAGAATGTGGGGCCTCTTCCTCGTATTGACGATCTCCTTGAGCGATTGGGCGACGCAAAGTATTTTTCCAAGTTGGACTTGAAGTCGGGCTATCATCAAATTTCGATACGCCCAAAACATTGCTATAAATCCGCGTTCAAGACATGGTACGGGCAGTTCAAGTGGGTGGTCATGCCTTTTGGCCTCACAAATGCCCCGGCGATCTTTCAAGCGGCGATGACCAACGAGCTTCATGAGATGTTGGACCGGTTCGTGCTGGCCTACTTAGACAACATCCTCGTCTATAACCGGACCTTGGAGGATCATCTTCAGCACCTTCGACGAGTGTCGACGACGCTCCGTCGCGCCAAGTACAAAGCCAACCGTGACAAGTGTGAATTTGTCCGGCTAGAGCTGGAATACTTGGGCCATTTTGTCACACCGAAGGGCATCGGTCCATTGTCGAACAAGATTCAAGCCATCCAAGAGTGGCCGGAGCTGCGGACCGTCACCGATGTCCATTCATTTTTTGGCCTTGTCGGCTACTACCAACGTTTTATCAAGGGATACTCAAAGATTGCGGCCCACTTAACCAAGCTTCAATGTGAGGATCGGTCGTTCGACTCCGGAGAGGATGCGCAAGAATCATTTTTAGCCCTCAAAGCCCCGTTACTATCCGCGGAGGTCTTGCGTATCTACGACCCGTTGTTGCCAACGCAAGTCACTACTGATGCGTCCGGCTATGGCATTGGTGTCGTCCTCAAACAACACGATGGCGTGGACTGGCATCCGGTCGAGTACTTAGTACATTTTGTGTACTGCACCCATAAAGCTGTTCGTTGGTTGACCCGCGTGGAACTTCAAGCAACAGCTTTGGATGTTCTCCCACGCTACGAACGCAAGTTGCAAGGCAAGCCGACATCTTCAGCTCCACGTCGCACTCACATCCACGTTCCGCCTTCAGATCGTCAACTTCCGCCCCGACCCGGCTTAATTTCATAAGGAGCACATGGGCCCCATTCAAGGCCTGACGATTGATGAGGGGCCCCAGGCCGCATGCCATCCAGCACACGCCCTGGCCTGAGGCAGCACTCAGTTATTTATTTATTTAGTTATTACTTACATGCTGTCTTATTCTTGTCTGTGCAGATGTTGTTTCAGACTTACAGGCCCCAGGTACACAGGGACGAGACCTTTTTGAGCGCAGGCACGTTGTGGCGCCTCGCTGCATCACCAGCGCGGTCTGGATACCCAGTAGGGGCCCATACCAAGTAGGCCGTTTTGAGGCCAGTACCTGAGGATGCCCAGCAGGCCCAGCGCTACTTATAGCTGGGCTGAGGCTGGGCTGGGAACAGTCCGGGTAGCGCACTTCTTGAGCGACATGCTGCTGGTTGGAGGCTGCGCTGTTTTGGCGCTGCGATGCAAAGCTGGGAAGGAGAGGCATAGGAGGGAGAGAGTGGCGGAGGCCATGCCTGTAGTGGCGAACTTACCTGGCACCATAGCCGGGGCTCCGTGCGGTACCTGCACAGGATGACCACGACGGTCAATTCGACAGCAGTTACCTGCAGGTAAGGCAGCGAGGAGGGCGACATCTTCTTCTTCCTTCTCGCCCTCCATCTTGTCTCCCTCTCTCCTCCTTCCTCTGTCCTCCTCCTTCATCTCGCTCAGTACGAAGGCAGTTACCTGCAGGTGAGGCAGCGAGGAGGGCGACATCTTGTTCTTCCTTCTCGCCCTCCATCTCGTCTCCCTCTCCCCTCCTTCCTCCGCCCCCCTCGTTCTTCTTCATTTTCTTCTTCAGATACGAGACTGAGAGGGATTACAGGCAAAGGCTACAATGGGCAGAAGGCCCAGGATCTGATTCGACATTCTTGAGGCAGACATTGATTGGACCTCGGCAAGGGACTATTTTTGGACTTCGCTATTGCGATCTTGGTCTTCTCCCTCACATCCATCGTCGTCTCTCATCTCCCCCCATCTCTCATCTGTGGTATCTCCCCACATGTGTGTGTGTGTGTGTGTGTGAGCAAAGGAGGGACCTTTCTTCTCTGTGCGTGGTCCCTCCTCTCTCACAAGTGTGATGAGTGATGGGGTGTCACGTCAGTCCCGGTCAGGTCAGGACTTATCTCAAAGTCTTCCACTGCGCTATTTTGTGCCGTTTTGTATGTATCAGGGTGTACATTGCCTGTTGATGTTTCACTAACAATGCATTGTCCATTCAGTCCTCTTCATCACATTGCGGATCCTTGGCTGTACATACATTGCCCAACTAGGCATGTATCACTCTCTCTCTC